AGGGGATCGGCGCGAGTTGGATGTTCTTCCGCGGCGAAAAGGACAAGACCTCCGGGGTCTGGCACCCCCGCAGCGCCCGCTCCCGCATCCCGAGGTTGACCCCGCTGATGGGGTGCCGCTTCGTCGCGATGGGGGGCCCGAATTTCGTCGAGGAGAGGCTCGACCCCACCGAGGCGGGCGCGCACTCCCACAGCGGGAACACCGACAGATGCTCCGGCGCGGAGGTGAGCGACCGCCCTTTGTGAGGGGTGGCGAGCGCGGTCGTCTTGGGATCCTCCTCCTCGTCGAAGTAGTGGGGGACCACGGGCGGCAGACTCCCGCACGCGTGCCCATCGCAGCTCACGTTCCGAACCGGAGGTAACTCGATCGCCTCACCATGCGGGTGCGTGTGAATGGAGGAACGGCTCATAACCTCGTCCCGCTTCGTCTAAGGGTTCTTTAAAAAAAAAAAAAGATAGCCAATAATAATATCAACCAATGCCTCAAAACAGGCGCAAAACACGGAGGATGTCAATCTTGAAAGAATGTGAATAAATGCGTCAGAAACACGCGTGGAAAGACTAGGATTCTTTTTAAGGTTGGATATAAAAACGACTTCAAAAAACAGTGATTTTTAGTGTGTTTGAAACAACAAAGAGGTGTCGATCTTTTCCTTGTGTTCCCCTTCGCACCTCCTTAAAAGTTCATGCAATTATTTTGCCCTCCTCGTCCCTACCACGCTTTATAATTGCTGTGCGCCCCAAAAACGCTAAAAATAATCGTATAATTTAAAAATACTATATTAGAAGAAGAAAATAGGGGGGAAAAACTCTCAGAATTGAATGTAGAGCACCATCAAAGCATTCACATATATCACGCAAGAACACGTTTGCCACGGCACAGAAATCCCTGAGATTAGATAAGGAATTAGTGTAAATAATCCCTCCACCTCCACTAGCAGTACACGAGTTCACAACAAGTACACCGAATGAAGGTGAGATCATCCTTTCACGAGTTTCTCCTACGATGCCTCACAACATGTGAATCGATATCCATACCCCATAAACGTCACAGTTTAGGATGATCCTCCTCATTTCTTTTCTTACTTGGATTGGATGCTTCTTTAAACCTCTTCCATAAAGACCCTTTCCACTGACTGCCATTTTTATGATGCAAAGTGAGTTGCACTACTTCTACTTCTTGTCTATATGTCTTCATATATCTTTAAGTTAAACCTGTAATATGTGTTTGCATTGAATCATCTGGTAGCAAATGTCCTCCCCCCCTCTCCCTCCCCCCACCTCTCGATCACCTCATTCCGAAGTTAAAGGAAGTAAAAGACGGGTTCCGTAAAAAACATTCTACACTACTAGAAAGACAGCCTGAAGTCTATGAATCTGAACAAAAAAAGGATTCAGGCATGTGATAGGGCACACAACTCCCACTGCCATCACGTGTAAGATTGAAGGAGCATAGAATTTGAATGCGCATACACGTATATGCGTGTATCTCAACAAGTAAAATCGTAAAAAAAAATTCATCGAAAACATAGCCTCGGCAATCGCTTGACCACATAACATGTGGTTCTCTCGGAGCCACACCTATCCAAACTACTAGGAAAGTGGAAAGCAGAATCTTCCCGAGGGGGGTAAACCTATTAAGCAGGACATATAAATTTAAGAAAATCCCACCAATAAGCTTTTGCACCCTCAATAATATCAATATCATGACATTTTCCTCATCTACCTCTACTTACTGATTATGATGATAAGAATATTTAGCTATAACGCATCTTTCACTTATTCATGGATGCATGTCAGACATGCCAGAAATAAATCATTCCAATTCCCAAAAAGTAGTATAGAACATTAACGCAAAAAAAAAGATTTGGAAGAAAAAGGGTGTCTAATTTGATATTATTTCATTAGTTTCCCAACTATAAAATACGACGAAATATATAAACAAAGACGAATGCTAGCAGATAAATGAATTCTGTAAAGGATACTGTCTAGATAACACACTGATCATTAGTTATCTTCAGCTGAAAAAGTCAGCACGCATGCTTAGTGGATAGAAAATAGCACAATTAAATGAATGTCAGGCATGCAACGAGCGAGTGATATTCTTGCGCCAAAGGAATGATAAGTTCACTGAAAATTAAAAAATGCAACAAAAAAAGTTCAAGTAGGATCAAACGCACAGGCATATGTATTTTGACGAGCAACTGAATATTAAAGAGAGCATAAATTTCAAAATATTATTTTTAAATATCTACACATCCATATATACACACACTTTGTCATAGTATGAGGTAGCAATGCAAAAATCATCATCCACTACGCTAAGACAAGCCGGCTCTGAACTCTCACCTCAGTCAATAATAATAATCACAATAATGATGATAATAATAATAATAACAACATAGACAACAACAATAATTTATGAAACTTCTTCCCCAGCCACGTTCTGCCTTCCTTCAAAGAAGTGAATGGCACCTGGATCAAGAAAAAAATCCCTACAGATCCTTGCGCGCTGTCTGATATCCGTGCCACGATCTCTTCATACTCCCTTTTTTTTCCTTTTCCTCACATTCTCCCCAGAGCCTTTTTTTTACAGGAGTTCATTCGCGTTATCATCGGTACGAATGGGAAAGGGTAGCCAGCGCCGCCAAAACCGCTTCTCCTCGCCAAAGAGAGCGTGTTTAAACTCGGCGATACGCGCCTCCTTCCACTCCGATTCCTCGTCGCATTGAGCGGCGTTGGGGGGAAGGCTGTTGAGTGTGTGCACGCGTTTCGCGGCGTGCTTCTTCCTCCGACGGATTGCCGAATCCATCGTGCTCCTCCCACGCCGCACGCCGATACGGTGCTGCGTGTAAAACATCAAAAATGACAGCCCGAGGATCGCCGAGAGCACTAACAGCGCGTAGCACCAGATCCGATCCATATGCTTATCGTGATCGATCACAAACATGCCGATCGCGACCTCCCCCGCCTCCAACAGCCACGACGTCCAAAGGTAGAAAAGAAAGATTAGAAAAAGCTTGTAGTTGTTTCTCCCGATACAATTATTCACCCATGGGCAGTGGTGGTCCATGCGGTAGACGCAGTGCTCGCAAATCTGGCAGTGATGCGCGAAGTCGGGCATGTAAAGCTGGCAGCGCGCGCAGTAGCGAAGCGCGCCGGTGCGGTAATCCAAAATCGACACCGTCACCTCCCCTTGAACACCCACCAAAGGCGGGAGAGAAGAAGAAAAACGAGGAGGAGGAGTGCCTCCCCCGCCCTCTCCCTCCGACATCGTTGGGCGGGAACTTTCGGAAAACGACAACGCCACCACCCCGGTACCGTCGTGGTCGTCTTTGACGCTATCAGACACCTTGATAGGGTTATGACTAGGGGGGTTGGAAGGATTAGGATTAGAATTAGGATTATAAGTATTCGGCTGATCCTGGCTGTGGGGGTTATCTTGTCCGTTATGTTGGGCATGATCGTTTTGGGCGGTGGATGGGCGGGGGCGGCCCCAGCGCCTGGGCTCGTATCGCGGCGGATCCCGCCACGGTGTCGGTAACACATACCCTGGCGACGTGCGAATAACCTGCACGAACGACCAAAGTGCGATCCCCTCCAGCAGGAGATCAATCAACATGAAAAGAACGCTCAAAATGATGTGCAGCACATCCGGATAATGCGTCATTAAAAGAATGAAAAATGCCATATGGCCGACGACAAAAGTGAGAATGATGCAGCACGCAACACACGGCAACATGTACCCACTCACAAGCGAGCACCTGCCGCAGAAACCAGACTTCTCCTTTGGGGAAGCGTGAATGTTCCGCAGTGGAATGTTACACGTGACATCGGGCATGGATAAAATTCTATACAATGTATTTATGTTTATATATAGATATATATATATATATATAGATATATATATATATATGTATATATAGAGAGAGAGATATACAAAGATAGATATATTATCCCCTTACTAATACGGTAAAGAAGATGTCAATTGGTAATGAATAATGCAGATGTAGATATGATACACGGTTGAAAATAACCAGAACAACTTGACAACAAGATTCTGATGATAAAGATCTGGATACCACAGTTCAGATATTAGACAGAGACCAGAATGTACAATGTTATTGGATAGCAGAAAATAAAGTACTGAATAAAAATACACAAAGAGGCCTTAAAAAATGGCCTCATCTAGATGCATACTCAGTATTCATTAGATATGAAATAATATTAAGAAAAAAAAGAGGCAAGCATGCAAAGCAGTCGTTTAACAACCTACCGACATGCCGAATACGAGTTGCCATTTTGTTCGTAAAGGCTACGCTAGATCTCATTTTATTGCTCACAATGAACACAAACCATACTGTTAAGAGGCTTGATTATCTAAATACGAACATTTACAAATTATTTTCATAAGGAAAAGAAGTAAAAAATACTTCCATATATGGAAGGGGAAAAGATAGTGGTTGCATTCATTAAAAATACATCAAATCCGGGGTTCTAAGGTGATTTCACTGCCCAAAGAGGAGGGGCATATGGCGGTATGGACAATCGCCAACGCAACATGGGTATTTTTCAAAGAGCTGGCGGCTAAGATGATCGGGAAGAAGCGGTGACTATTCCAGAGGATGTGTAGTCTCCGATTCATATAAAAAGATAGGAACTACATAAATGCATTATCTTTGACAATCCTCATCTTAAACTTTCATCGTGCAGCCCTTGATCTCGTCTTCAGATATAATGTCTTCCAAAAGAAGGAAGGGGTATTACCTATGAGGTAGTTGATCTTTTCACCCTCTTTTCGAACCCTGTGAAAAGAAAACGCTTGGTGGATACGGTCCTCTATTAGTATACTCTTGTAAGACTAAACTCCGAGCATATATGTGTATGATAGGAAGAAGAAAGAACTGCCTCCCTACGATTGTTTGCGTTGTTGAAAATTACCTTAACAAATGAATCATAAGGGGTGAAATAGACTTGAACAAATATAGCGGGCTCCAAATATCTAATACACATTTACATACGTAGGTATTTGTTGACATGTGTGCATGTGCATTCATTTGTGAGTAACGCATAGTTACACAAACCATGATATACATACATAAAGAGACGTAACACCATTTTCAATACTGTTTGTATACCTATGGTTCCCATTTTAGGCGTTGTGTTCTAAAATGTACTATCGTTTTGTATCATACAGCGGGATAAAGAGAATAAAATCGGACAGAAAAAACGGTTGCGATTTACGTTATTGTTTTTTTTACTACCTAATTCTACTAAAACGGGAAAACGATATTAGTAAAATAAAATAAGAGCTCCAAAAGCGCTAAGGGGTTTTGATTTAAAAAAAAAAAGGCAAATCTATCCCTAAAAGATTTCCTTCTGTCAATTTCCTACTTCTCCACATCCTATATTTCCCTACATGCCCACAGCTTAGAAAAATACCTTGCGAGTATATCATCAGATAGGTAAACTTTTTATGTTTGGAGGAGGAGGGAGGAAAAGGCAAGAATATTTATGTAAAAAAATCCTAAACACAACCACGACGACTTCTCCTCTCGGAAAAAAGAAAAAAAGTCAAGCCGCAAACTCAATCACCCCCCCCTCCCTCCCCCGCCAGAAGGGTTTCCTCTTTGCATCATCCATTTTCCCTACCTATTTCACCTCCTCCGACTCCTTCATTTCCACTAGTAACGAAAGGGGGAAATTGCTATTTCTCCGGCCCCGAGCGGTGGCTAGCGAGGGTGGATTCAATCAACGCCACCGTTTGGTCGTGATCGAGCACCCCACCCCGCCGCTCGATCTCCTCGAGGACGTTGATCACCCCGCTAATATCCCCTCTCGCGCGAAACGCATCACACAGCCGCAGCAACGCACCGATCGCGGGCTCGCGGCCGCTGCTTTCCTTCTCCGCTGCCGCCATCGCCGCCGCGTCGTCCGGGCTCACGCCGTTCATCACGCGCGCGATGGATTGGTAATTCGCGTCGATGGCGTCGATACGGCTGCGGCTGAGGTTGATATTCCGCACAAACGGCCGAATAAACGAGTACTGCTGGAAGAAGTAGCGCAAATCGACGACGAAGTCTTTGATCACGGGGAAGTTCGGCAGCGGGCCGACCGTCGTCACCTTCTGCGCGAAGGTGATGCAGGCGAGGGAGTTGATGCCGTTGATGTTCATCGCGCAGCTCCCGCAAACCCCCTCACAGCAGGAGCTACGGAACGCCAAGGTCGGATCTTGATGCGCCTTGACCGCGATGAGGAGGTCGAGAACCATGTAATCGTGGTTCTTGTCGTACTCGTAGCTCTCCACGCGCGAGCAGTTCTTCTCCGGATCGAACCGCACCAGCTGAAGTACCGCTTTTTTGCTGGAGGAGCTGCCCTCGGCGACGGCAGCGCTCGTTCTCGACAGACGGTGAACCATCGTCTTGTACGGCCGGCCGGCAACTTTTCGCAGCATCGCGTTTTCAGAGAAATGGAAATGATTCGCCGCCTATCACTGTGATTGAATAAACAAGCAAGACTAAAGAGAAATTAATGTATATGTAAATATCAAAATATTTATATATCAGCTTTTGCGTGCTTAGTATAGAGTCCTCTACACCCCGATTCTGGTGCGTGCTCACGCGATAATAATAAGGTAGCTACACACAGGTGAAGCAAACAAAAGGTGAGAAAAGAAAACGAATTAGAACAACGCATTGACTTCGGTCATGCAAACACACACACGCACATAGAGAATACGTATTGTACGGTAAAAGTAAGTGTCTCCCATAAAAGTTGCATACCCACCCTCCCTCTTCGGCCTGGGAGAGAAGTCTAAAATGCATTACTTTTCAGCACACACCAGTAATCAGAAATGATAAAAGGGCTCCACAATACGCAGGGGAAAAAGGAAAAAAGAGGAGCGGGAAGGGAACCAAAAAGCAACGTGGAATCGATCCCTACTCCTCCTCTGGGATGAAAAGACCCCAATCCCTCACCTCCAGGCTCTCCAACACGCCGAGGAGGATGCGCTCCCGCTCCTCCGGCGAGAGCATCCGCTCGACCACCTTCGCCTCGGAGCTCCCCGGGTGAATCCGCTCCGGGCAGGAGAGCGAAACGAGCACCTCCGTCGCCACCGGCGGCGTAAAACGCAGCAGGAGGAGGCCGACGTAGA